CCCCAAAACCCCAAAACCCCAAAACCCCAAAGTGCAAAATCAAGCACAATGAATTATAAAAATAAAAATGTGAGAGTAACAGTGCGTACGTATTATTTTCAAATTAAAATTAGATTAGAAGTGTATGATTATAGTAGTAAGGTGGGGATGATAAGATAAGTGATATATATGTTATAATTAACTCATCATATTTAGAAGATTATCGGGTAGGTTTCCTCTTATCATTGGAGGAAGAGGGCCTCCTCAACAGCTCCGCTGTTTCCGAAGATTGTCTTGATGGTAGTAGCAAGTCTGAGACCTCCGAGGACGATGTGCTTTTCGATGACATCAACGTTGGTCTAGACGTAGTCTGATGGGAGTGATTGTTTTTCAGTGATGCCTATTAAATTATTAATTAATAGGTAATTTTTACCATTATAAACGTTTGATTAGGTAATCGCAAAAGATTCGTTGACCCAGGTGTCAACATCAACGCTGTTGTACTCTGATGAGGAGAATGAGTATTTGTTTTCTAAGTCAGAGCATACACCTCCTAGTCTGTTCCAGGCAGATGAGCTGTATGGCTATAAAGTTATTAATTATTTGATAGTTAATTACCAAAGATGGCGTGTCGGCGTGATCGTAAACAACGGAGTCCCAGACAGAGTGGAGATTTTTGGCGTCGTCCTTTGGTGGAACTTGGAAGGAGTTTCCACCTCTGTCTCCCTTGGGGTATTTAGAATTAACTCTGCTTGAGGCGTGGAGTGGTTGATGAATATCTCCGAGATAATGGATAAGGAGTCTGAGAGCGTACGACTTAGCCTCATTTTCGTTGCTGACATGTTCAGTGATTTGTTGGTAGGCGAAGCTGTTTTGGTAGCCTGAGTTTCCTGAGAGCCAGTCTACAAGGGCTGGGATAACCTTTCCGATGTTTTATTCATCGAATTAGAAATCTGGATAATCATTGATTGAACCACCCTCATCAAAGAATGGGTTGTCAATGAAATGCCATCCTGATTGGTAGCTGCCACCCTTAGCCTTGATTGAATCAGCAAAGGTTGAGCACTCTACGAATGGGAAATCACCCTCAAGTGATGTCATTGATGGGTTTGAATTTGAGTATACTTGAAGTAAGTTGTTAGCAGCCGAAAGAGCTGATGGGGATTCTTAGCTTAAATGATCATAAGCGATTCTGGCGACTAAAATTGGAAGATTAGAGAGAATTTAAGATATTACCCATCAAATGGCCTTGTTCCCAGAATCCAAAAACCTTTCCAGTAAATAAGGCAATGACTAGAGCGGGTAATAATCTTGCAGTCTTCATCTTCTTGTGTTAGTTATTGGATATACAAATATAAATTATATTTAATTAATTTTCTAAAGTATTGGATCCAAAACAGCACCTATATTAGGTAATAATCTAAAGATTAAATAGATATAACCAGTCATCTAAAGAATCAAATGATTTAATTTCACTTTAGTATCATAGTATATTCCCTTGAATTTTCGATTTGAGGGGTTTTGGGGTTTTGGGGTTTTGGGGTTTTGGGGTTTTGGGG